TGAGATACACACATTAATATACTACATGCCAGGGAGCAAGAAAATGATGTACCTTTTAAAAAGATTCACGGTTTTTACAGCTTTCTTATTGGAAGAGTCAGAAATCAAATACATATACAGTTTTAACTCTTCCAGGAAAAGGTTAAAGAAAGGCTTACACTGACAATATTTACATTTGTGTACAAAATATTTGGCGAGAAACAAAATAAGATTGAGTAAATAAAAAAACATCTGACTGTTCTCTTTCAAAATGTGTATAACCCAGAATAACATTTTCATATTTCAATGAAATTTCAGGAATTATACCACAAAATGTTTTCCAACAGATTCTTAGTATACTCACAATACCAAGATACATTTGGAGACATTGCTACCTTGTTGGAGACCACAGAAGGAGCAATGTACATCAAAATCCTCAGAAATAAACCTTTGTAAAAACATTTTGTGGGATAGCACCGATGTATCATTTTATAAGACACTTCTTTTATCTTATTGGTACTGAGATACACACATATTCGTGATTCATAGGCCAATATATATATATATATATATAAGTTTTTTTTTCTCAAGTGAAAAGTTAAAGTTAGCCGCTTTGAGATGAGACGAATCTCTCGGAATTGAAACAGAAGGCTGCAGTAATTATTAGTTATTTATGGAGTTATTTAATAATTCCATAAATTAAAAGCACATTTCAAACTGGCTCATTATTCATCATAGCCTATATGCCTTTTATTTCTATTATTAAATCACTTAAATAACAAATATAGGCCTGTATATAATTCATAGTAGGCTTATAATATAGATTATCAACTAAATTGTTAAAGTGCATTTCCATAGAACGTTTATTTGTTTTAGTATTTGACATTAATGAAACCTTTTTTTTCAGATGAATAAATAAATAATCTTCCTGAGAAACATTTGAATGCTGAGCAAATCCTTTTTGGTGGGATTGTTTCGTATTATTTCGACTGTCATGTTGTATTAAAGCCCTTCAGATGCATAATTTCAGTAAAAGTCAGTAAAGTCACTCTGAAGCTTCCACTGCTGACGGGAGCAGAGACGGATTTAATCAAGCGAGTCCATTACATTAATGTATTCATTTATTGGGAAATATAAACAGAATCCAGGGTTCCCTCTCTTTTAGACCAATGCATTTTTCCATGAAACCAAACATTTAACCTTTCATTGCTAAAATCATACACTCTCAGAAATAAAGGTACAACAGCTGTCACTGGGGCAGTACCTTTTCTAAAGGTACACTTTTGTACCTATTAGGTTCTAATATGTACACTTTAAGTAGCAATATGTACCTTTGAGATACTAATATGGACCCTTTAGGTACAAATATGTACCTTTTGAAAAGGTACCGCCCCAGTGACAGCTGTTGTACCTTCATATAATCACATTTTTAATGTAAAAAAAAAAAAAAGTTCAAGGGATTATCAAAATTTGTTCAGAAACTGAGTCAAACTTTTAAAGAGTTTTCACTGAGGTCCCAGAGACTCTGAGAATGTGTTCTGAGAATCAGATTTGTTAATGGCTTTAATCAAGTATTTCTACTTCATTTCAAATTGATGTGGATTAAAAAGGACTTTTACATCCATTTACATCAATGAACAAATGATCATTTAACCTCTATAACTGAAATAAACAATTATTCATTTAGTCTCGTGATGAACAAATATTGAAATTGTGATATGGATTAAATATTGGAAACATGATGACAGTAAAAGATGAAAGCAGGTTGATTCAGACCCACAGGTGCAACGTTTACTGACTATTGAGCGGTAAGATCCTCAGAGAGACACAAGAGAAAAATGGAAAGACTGTGTGAGTGAAGGTGGTTGTGAATGTGTGTAGATGTGTGTTAGCTACAGGATCAGAGAATGACACCGTTCCTCTGTCATAGTCCAGATACACTCTCACACGCTCAAGATCCTGTTTAACAGGAAAACCAATATCTTCAGACAATCCGTAGTGCACAAACCAGATATCAGTATTAAATAAATCACGTCCCTTTCTTTGGTTTGATGCTGTAGTTACTCCAAGAATCCAGACTGAACTCTTTTTAACCTCCACGTCCCAGCAGTGTGTTCCTGAGTTAAAACCCTCTGAGCCCAGAACACAAGGATAAGAGTCAAATCTCTCTGCATTATCAGGAAGCAGTTGTCTGTTCTCACTGTATCTCACACTGGTCAGATCATCAGACAGGACGAGACGTGGATGAGCCGTGTTTGGATCCAGAATCACAGGAGCTAATGAGACACAATCAACAGCTGCTTTTATTCTGATGCTCATATAATGATCAAGAGTGAACCGTACACAGATTCATATGAATTATGTTCGTCCTATTGATCAAACACATCAGACATTGTCCTCTGATCACTGTCAGTTAGAGCTGCACGATTAATCGTTAAAAGATCGCGATCTCGATTCAAACTCCCACACGATCTCATTTCTAAACGACAACGATTCGCCCGTGTTTATTAAACCTTTGAAAGAAATCCTACTGGAACATTAAAATCTGTTTTCTGACACAGAGAGATCAGTTATCATGTTTAGGTAATAAACAGCTTCACAAACACTCTTTTCAACCACAAAGTATTATTTCTCTCTTTCAGTCATTCATATTAACACAGAAATACTGGGATAAACGTTTATAGTTCGGATATAAACACTGATGTCTATGTTATCAAAACAGAGCAAATCACGCTTTCAAATAACGTTTGTGTCGATTGCATTGTTGGCGACAAGTGACTGATAAAAAATTAATTTGTCATTGAATCCTTCATTTAAACCACGTTTACACAATTTTAATATAAAAAATTGGTTTAAAAAAAAAAAAAAGAAAATATATATATATATATATATACAGTGTTGGGGAAAGTTACTTTTAAAAGTATTGCATTACAATATTGCGTTACTCCATAAAAAAGTAACTAATTACGTTACTTCGTTACTTTTTATGGAAAGCAATGCTTTACATTACTTTTGCGGTTTTTTTTTAAATCTGGACAGGGCTTGCTGGTTTGTTTTTAAAATAAAAAAGTTATATTTTTGGCAAATAAAAAAGCCTTTCACACCAGAAGTGAAATGAATGCGCCTCAGGCTGAAGGGAAAGTACAGTAGAATGCAGAAGAAGAAATTTCAACACTTCAGCAATAAACAAAGACACACAAATGTTGTCTAGAGTAATGTGTGCTTATTAGTACGCTTGAACTGGATCATCGAAGCTCAGAAGTTAATAGAATGGGATTAAATACATAACGCATATTTGTGTTGTTTAACATTTAATTATTGCAGGTTTGCGTCATATTCTGAGTTGCATTATTTTTATTCATTTTGAGGAATACTGAATCTGTGTTTTTTTGTGTGAGTGAGATGAATTAATGCATATTCATATTTATTTTAAAACTACAGTAACATCTTCTGATTTCTCTCAGCATGGGGACAGGAGAGCTGTCAATCAATAAATTGGAAAAAAAAAAAAAATTTGCGTTTCTTATTTGAAAAAGTAACTCGGATATTCTCTTGTAAATTAAAAAGTAATGCGTTACTTTACTAGTTACTTGAAAAAAGTAATCTGATTACGTAACTCACGTTACTTGTAATGCGTTACCCCCAACACTGGCTATGAGTAGCTACAAAAACTTATGATTTGTTTTTAAAAAGCTAAGCATGAAGGTCCATCCCTAAATCTATCCATCAGTGGCTTACAAAACTGTATGTATGAATGAGAATTTATACAGATTTGCCACCAATTCATCAAAACCTATAGTTAGAAATGATGCAAATCAGGTAATTACGGTGGCCGAGAAGTGCAGAACAAATCACAACTCTGAAAACAAAAGAACAAATTACAAACGCAAATGCAAGTCTAAAAAACAAAATAACAATTCTGAAAACACAACAACAATTCAGAATACATTATAACAAGTCAGAAAACACAATGACAAATTCGAAAACAAAATAACAAGTCAGAAAACACAACGACAAATCTGAAAACAAATTAACAAGTCAGAAAACACAACGACAAATCAGACAAACCGGAAGAGGTAGGTATAGTTTGAGACAGCGCCATTGGTTTGGGATTACTCACCGCTGACTGGACGAGACATCTGTCAATCAACGTATACAGGAAGAACCAGCCGAAGAACACCAGAGTCGTGGTAGAAAGTTCGGAGATGGTATTAAAGTAGCTCAGTTTAAATGTATTGTATGCCTCAGGCTGAAGGGAAAGTACAGTAGAATGCAGAAGAACACACTTCAGCAATAAACAAAGACACACAAATGTTGTCTAGAGTAATGTGTGCTTATTAGTACGCTTGAACTGGATCATCGAAGCTCAGAAGCAAATAGAATGGGATTAAATACATAACGCATATTTGTGTTGTTTAACATTTAATTATTGCAGGTTTGCGTCATATTCTGAGTTGCATTATTTTTATTCATTTTGAGGAATACTGAATCTGTGTTTTTTTGTGTGAGTGAGATGAATTAATGCATATTCATATTTATTTTAAAACTACAGTAACATCTTCTGATTTCTCTCAGCATGGGGACAGGAGAGCTGTCAATCAATAAATTGGAAAAAAAAAAAAAATTTGCGTTTCTTATTTGAAAAAGTAACTCGGATATTCTCTTGTAAATTAAAAAGTAATGCGTTACTTTACCAGTTACTTGAAAAAAGTAATCTGATTACGTAACTCGCGTTACTTGTAATATATTACCCCCAACACTGTATATATATTAGATATTAAAATGTTTAATAATTCTTTCAAATTAATTAAACACTGTTAAATAGATTGCAGCAATTAATACTTTGTCACAAACTATTTTGTTTCGTTCATGATCTCTATTTGAGACAAAAAGTCATGATTCTCAGTTAATGCCGAATCGTGCAGCTCTACTCTCAGTGTTGTTACAGTAAATATGTGCTCAGTAGCGGCTCCTGACCATACATTTAGGTGGAGCAGATTCTGGGTCGTAATATATGAAAAACATTTTGCAAGTTCATATTCTAATCTCTGAACACATGTGGACAAAATGTTGTCCTTGCGTTATCTTGTGGGTGGCACGCTAATGTTGTTTGACCGGCTCGGAGAACAGCATAAAATGCTGTATTATAATTGCCTTAATTAGGGCTGGACAATATGGCCAAAATTTATATCACGATATATTTCTTAATTTCGGTCAATACGATATAATTCCGATATCGATATGAACACTATTAAGCCTCGTAAAAACTGCCAAGAATGCCCACAACAGATGTCTGTGCATACAGACTTATGAAAAATTAATTTATAGAACCATATAATATTTTAGAAGAAAATAAATCAGCACAAATAAATTAATGTTCAACTTTTATTTGTATTTAGCCTTCATACAAACAATAAATGACTCACCTAATTAATATTAATATCTTTAACTTCAAACTATAGGCTAACATACCAGTCAAAAGTTTTTGAACAGTAAGATTTTTAATGTTTTAAAATAATTCTCTTTTGCTCACCAAGCCTGCATTTATTTGATCCAAAATACAGCAAAAACAGTAACATTTTGAAATATTTTTACTATAATTTTTTTTTTTAATTTAACAATTTTAAAATGTAATTTATTCCCTTGATTTCAAAGCTATATTTCAGCATCATTACTCCAGTCACACGATCCTTTAGAAATCATTCTAATATTCTGATTTGCTGCTCAAAAAACATTTAGTATCATGTTGAAAACAGCTGAGTAGATTTTGATGAATAAAATAAAAAGTTCAGAGGAATAGCATTTATCTGAAATAGAACCCTTTTGTAACATTTGTAACATTATAAATGTTTTTATCATCACGTTTGATCAATTTAAAGCATCCTTGCTAAATAAAAGTATTAATTTCTGTAATTTATAAAAAAAAAAGAAGAAAGAAATGATACTGACTCCAAGCTTTTGAATGGTATAGTGTATAATGTTACAAAAGCTTTTTATTTCAGATAAATGCTGATCTTTGGATCTTTCTGTTCATCAAAGAATCCTGAAAATAAGTACTCAACTGTTTTAAATATTGATAATCAGCAAATCAGCGTATTAAAATGATTTCTGGATCATGGTACACTGGAGTAATGATGCTGAAAATTCAGCTTTGATCACAGGAATAAATTACATTTTAAAATATATTCAAATAGAAAGCAGTTATTTTAAATAGTAAAAATATTTCAAAATTTTACTGTTTTTGCTGTACTTTAAAAACATTAAAAATCTTACTGTTCAAAAACTTTTGACTGGTAGTGTAGGCTGATTATTCTTATAGATTAAAACAAATGTACTTTAGCCAGTATTACTAGTATGACAAGTGCTGCAGAAAACAAAACAAAAAAATAATAGAGCAACAACAAAAACATGTTGCTGGAGTCGGGCTTATTGAAAATGCAAACTGATTGTCTGCCAGCAGGAGGCGCTTCTGGAGCGGCAGAACTAGAGGTTTCCCCGGTAACGGCTGTAATCAAATCAGCTCCGCTCATGAACAGCTACTTTATCAGATCAAATGAAAACGCCATCGAAACTGTTCTGAAGACAGTCGGTTCCCTTCAGAGATACATTCATATAAAACACCCGTGACGTGTTATGATTTTGAAACGTGCAGTGCTCATGTTTATTCAACGAAGTCAAACGCCACAAATAAATCAATGTATGTAAAACACTGGTAATGGATATCGAAATATCGGAAATGTGTTTAAAAATCATATCACCGTTATTGAAAATATATATATATATCGCGATACATATTGATATTGAATTATTGTCCAGCCCTAGCCTTAATATAACATTTATCCAAACGTTGATTTAGAATCAATTTAGATTTTAGGGCCTTTTGCACCACGGGAACCTTTTCATAGTACCAGAACTAATTGTGGAACTACCCAATTTCGGCGTTTTCGCACCGCCAGAACTGGGAGCGATTTTAGTACCGGATTGCCTTTTTCGAGAACCAAATTAGCTCCTACTCCGGAGCAGGGTCTAACCAGCACAACTGGTACTAATCGTGACGTAAGTAGACATTGATTGGCCAAACGCGTATGAAAACGCCCTCACCCGCCATGATTTAAAACGCTGTGTAAACATACTGTAAACACTGTGTCAACTTATTTCGCAAATATGGAGAACAGCGATAGATGGACGGACGCTGAAGTGCAGGCACTTGTAGCAAATGTAGCACTGCCAGTTGTCGTTGTGATTCTTAGTCCTCCTTTCCGTTCTTTCAGTCGCTTTACGTATACGTCGACTTTCCATGTCCATTATTGTGAAACCCGCGAGACACAACAAAAACACAGCTCCGATCACAGCGTCCTCCATCCTCCTGTTGTTAATGTTGTTCTTCTTTGTTTCTGTTGTTGAACGCCGTGCACAAATGACGTCGCTGTCGACCGGCTTACGTCACTTCTTAGTACACACTCTCGGTGCGAATGCAACCCTTTAAATGGTACTGGAAAATAGTTCCCGCACAATCGTTCCAGTACTTTAGTACTGTACATTTAGTTCTGGAACTAAAGCGGTGCGAAAGGCCCTAATTAGAGCGCGCTGCAGTTCCCCTTTTCACCACAGATTTACGTTGCAAAATTGTGGGGCGCTGTTGAGTTCGGGAGGTCTCAGGCACCGTCTGCCCCGCTTAGTATCATGTATACATGCCTGCTAAAGCAATGCGCGGAATTGTAATATATAAAGCTTACTTTACGACTTAAAATAGTATCGAAAATCTGAAAAATATTTTTTGCAGAATGCTGAACACATTTACAATTTATTATTGTTTCAGTTTATATAGAGGTCAATGTTGTGGATTAATATTTTGGTGTATATATAGACGAGCCGCGCCTGTATGTGCTTGAGAAATTGCTGTGTCACTGTAACTGTAAATATCATGTGGAGCAAAGTTGTTCTTCTCTTGTTTACGGCTCATTTTGGTGTAGTAGCTGATCTGGTTATTCACACATAATGCTGAAATCTGTAAATATTCCCTCATGCATCATTTCCAGTGTATGTGTAACAGCACAGATCTTCTCCAGACTCACTGTTTTGGACAATGTCCTGCATCTTCTTCCAGACTCTGAAGGGCAGGTTGCCCAAGTAACGTGGCACACGAATCAAAGCTCCAGAAGGCGTCTGTGGATCTGGCTGTGATGAGATCTGGACTCTGGAAGAACATTCAGGATCAGAACTGTAGTGGCTTTGGATCAGAAGCAGAGAGAGCAGAGACACCAGCAGATCACTCACCTTTCCATCATGACTGGAAACTCCTGCAGAACAAACACACCATTGATCATCAATAACTCAATCAAGCATCAATCAATCAATCGATCAATGGATGATCTGAAATCAGACCTTTAGAAAGCAGACGTCATTGGCTTTTATCATCTCCTCTGTGTCTTTGATTGTGTGTGAAAGAGCTGAGATGTGTCTGTTCATCTCCTCTAGCTTCACCACATTCACTTCAATCATCTCAATCAACACAGAAACTCAGACACCCGACATATAACAGATCCAGAAGCAGATTGCTGCTCGTCATTTACAAAAATAATAAACTGGAATCTATTATATTAAATATAACAAATCATAATTGTGTACAGTGATCCTACACCTGAACTGAAAATGACTCTTGATTCTGTTTCCTGACCTTGATGTGCTGAACTGTTTTCTCAAACTCTCCTTTCATTTTTTCTCTCTTTTTATGTTTGTCCTGTAAGGACTTCAGTGCTGTATTGAGCTCCTCCTAGAATTGGACAAAATAAAAATATATAAAACACCAGATTACAGTGAAGAGAAGAGAATACAGTGATCATACAGTGCAGTGAAAAAGTATTCCAGAAATTATGACAAAGAACGTGATTGAAATACATCAATCTGGAAGGGTTATAAAACTATTACAAAGGCTCTTGGACTCCAAAGAACCAAAGTGAGAACCATTCTCTTCAAAAAAAACTTGACACAGTAGCAAACCTTCACAGAAGTGGCTCAGTATGGGGGCCAATACTTTTTAGCAGAGTTTATGTCATATGAAGTTGAGTAAAATGGCAGAGAGAAATATTGACTGCATGAATGTGATGATATCTGTGTTTATGATGATTTATTGCTCTTTGCATATAAAACAAGAGAGACATTTGTCTTACCTTATATGATGAAACCACTTCACTTATTGGTCTGAATTTGTGATTGTCGTGTTGTTCTGAATCTCTGCACACGACACACGCAGGCTGTTTGTCCTCCAGACAGAAGAGTTTGAGTTTCTCACTGTGTAAACTGCAGATCTCCTCAGATCCTGAAGAACGGCTCTCATTTCTCTCCTTTAGGAACGACTCACACAAGTTTTTTAACGCAAGATTAATTGGAAGATTTTCTTTTGAGGATCTTCTCCTGCAGACAGGACACTCCTGAGTTTTCTTGGTTCTCCAGAACTGTTGAAGACACTCTTTACAGACACTGTGACTACATGATAAAAGAACAGGAGCCTTGAAGATTTCACAGCACACGGGACAATTATAGTCATATTCAGATGATGAAGCCATTTTCACTGTTTGAGATCCAGAAATCTAAACTTTACTTTCACTTTCTGAATGACTTGCAAAAATGAATAACCACGAAAATCACAAGAAGATCCGCTGGGTGTCCAGAAACAAACTACTTCTTTTTCTCTTCGTTGTTCACTGATGGCTGATTCTTGTTTGCTTTTGTCAAAGAGAAGAAAATCAGTGTGACAGAAAGGAGAAATAACAAGTCAGTCTCTTCCTGGTAAGAGTTGTAAGAGGGTGGAGTTTCATTTGCTCTAGAAATGAACACAACTTCCACACGCATCTGACTGAAAGATAAACCACACATTCTTATTATAGCAGAAAGTTTGCTTTGTAAAGTAGGTTCAACAGCATTAAGTTAAAGATTGCAAATTTAACTTAGCTGTGTACATTTGTTTTAGACACCTACTTTATGCTCTTGTGCCTGTAAAGATGAAAATGATCAAAAACTGTATTTTCTATCTTCTGGTAATATCAATGACGTCACTCATTTCAGGAGTGGACAAAATGACCATTTTAAATCAGTCAGCGCTATAGAGATATACCTTCATATTTACAAGTAAAGCTTTGTATTAAGATGCCCCTTACAAAAAATAAGTTTATTAAAGTGTGCTATTAGTATACTTCTTTTAAACTAAAAAAATAAGAAAGTATACTTTTAGTCTACTTTTTATGTACTTCTCAGAAACGGGAAACTAGTTGTGTACTCAAAGTGTACTACTGTTATACTTAAAGTATACTTAAAAGTATACTTTTATATACTAGAAAGTGGGCCAATTTAGTCCCAATGAGTATTGAAATAGTACACTTACAAGTATACTGCTAGTACACTGATATACTACATAAAGTATACTTAAAAATATACTTGAACTTTACTTAAGTATACTTACTAAAATAAACTTGAAGTATATTACTTTTTGGTAAGGGGCGGTAGAAAGAAACGTTTACACGGGCTGAATTTCTAACACTTAACAAAGAGAGTGCTTTGACGTAGATCAGAGATGAGTGACAGACCTCACACAAACCTGTTTGGTGTCTCTGCCATTTTGAATGTTTTCTTTAGTGCACAGTGCTCCAGCATTAACCTTGTCAACACAATTTCCTCTCTTCTGTCTCCACTACCTACCCTAGTTACTCTAGTACTCTTTTGAATATGATATAGATTAAATATCCCCTCTCTAAAACACCTTTCTTGCCACAATTGGTTGATTTCCCCCCCAGATTATACATTTCACCTCTGCTTTACAGATTTATATTTGTATTTCTATATTTTTCTTCTTTATCGCCTTCTTTGTCTCCTCATCCACACTCTCATTCCCCTTCACTCCTGTGAACTGGGACCCACTTGTTATTCTTTTGACTGAATAAAGGATTTCATATAGTATATCTTGTCAACATTTTGAGACTCTTCCTCTGATCTGTAATGATGTCCCACACAATCCTATTGGCTGGTGTGTGTCATGTGACCCCGCTGGCTCACAGTTGATCACATGACTTGTTGCTTCATAAACAGTGTTCAGAGTTCAGGCTCTTGGAGCTGATTCGCATTCGTACTGGTTCTGAGTTACAGATATTCTGTTGTCACTCGTGAGTTGAGATGAACGGTTGGCGGTATGGTGTATTTCATCACAGAAAACATATTGACTGAGATATTGATTTATTTATAGCAGTCTAATGAATGTTTTTCAACAGGACTGGTGATGTCCCTTATCGCATCCAGTGTAGTGTGATTTGTAGGACAAAAATATACGTAAATATTTTTTCTTAAGTAAAATGTTAACGTTAAACACTTTGAGGTAAGATGTATCCCTCAGAATTGAGACAGAACGCTGCTGTTATTATTTACCTTAATTGTAATTCATGGAGTTATTATTTAATACTTCTATAAATTAGAAGTACATTTCAAACATGTTTATTTTTCATCATAGCCTATAGGCCTTTTATTTATATTATTAAATATCGTACATTAAAAATATAGACCTGTATATAATTCATAGTGTAACTTACATGTATGAACTAAATTGTTAAAGTGCATTTACATAAAATATTTATTTTAGTATTTTACATTAAAGGAGGTTAAAGAGCTGGCTGTCTGGTGCAGTCACAACAACCTGGAGCTGAACTCGTTCAGAACTGTGGAGATGATCGTGGATGATCTCTTTACAGACACTGTGGCTACATGATAAAAGAACAGGAGCCTTGAAGATTTCACAGCACACGGGACAATTATAGTCATATTCAGCTGATGAAGCCATTTTCACTGTTTGAGCTCCAGCAATCTAAACTTTACTTTCTCTTTCTGAACAACGGTTTCAAACATGAATAACCACGAGAACCATAAAGATCTGCTGTCTGTCCAGAAACAAAAATAAAAAATACTTCTTCAAAGTTTATCTCTTCGTTGTTCACTGATGGCTGATTCTTGTTTGCTTTTGTCAAAGAGAAGAAAATCAGTGTGACAGAAAGGAGAAATAACAAATCAGTCTCTTCCTGGTACGTGTTGTAAGAGGGTGGAGTTTCTGATCACCTTTGGGTGTTTAAACAGCTCTGACGACAACAGCAGGATCTCTTCAGGTTACATTTGAATAATATGCATTAAAAATTAAATTGCATTGACACTTTCTCAAGTATAATGCTAGAAAACAATCAAACACAAAAGAATAATGAAAAACATATAAATACTGATAATAGGTTTCAGTTATTGCTCTATATTTCACACAGAGTTTCTCCAGGATCTGACATGTCAAATGATTTCTTCACATGCTGAAAAACATAGTAATAAACACACATCTGCTGATCGTGCTGATCGTCTGTGTTTAGAGACGCGAGCAGAAGAGGCTAGAAACCAAAAACTATAGTTTACTCAAGTGAAAACACAAGGGTCATTCCATGAAATCAATGCCTTTTCCATATGGAAAAAATCTTTTATTTTTTATTTATTTTTTATTATTTTAAATCAGTTTAATCTATATTTTTTAAATATCCATGAAATGAATACACCTTAAAATGACAATACATTGTATTGTGCCATCTCAATATTTTATGACAAATTTTCTAGGTATTTTTGTCAACACTGTTACCGACACAAGCGTTACTAGATACAATAGTTTAATTAGAACTCATATGCCACTGAATGATATAGGCATTAGCTCAATAATATAGCGAGGGTGACCTTTAAAATGTTTGAATTTTACACAGACAATCTTTAAAAACAGGGTCAAACCTAATCAATGTCACCCATGTTACCCATATTTCAAAACCTGTTACTCTAAAAAGTAGCAGGTTGAAAGTAACAGGTTTGATGATTTTAAACAAATTTGCTAATCGCTAGCTAATAGTCAAGTTCACAAAAGCACATATTTTACACTTTGAAAGGATTTTACTTGTAGATATTGATTATATTAAATGTAAGAAATAATTGTTTAAATTAACTTTTTAAAAATGGTAACAGGATTGACACTGCATGATGGTCCGCCTCAGTCAAGCCTCATAAATCATGAAAAATAGAACATTATAGAGGAGTGAGAGAAACATGTTCGTGTTTTAAGTGTTGGAATAATGAATATATTTAAAATAAAATTTAGTTGACTTTTTTAAATGTAATATTGATAAAAGCAGACATAGTATTGTTATGTTTTTAAACTGCACATTTATTTGTTGTTATATTAAATCTATGCCCTTGCCACAATTGGTTGGTCCCCCCCCCCCCCAGATTATACATTTCACCTCTGCTTTACTGATTTATATTATCTGTATTTTTCTTCTTTAATGTCTTCTAGGTCTCCTCATCCACACTCCCTAGTAGGCTATTTCTTGTTGACTTTTTGAGACTCTCCCTCTGATCTCTGATGGTGCCACACTTGTGCAATCCTATTGGCTGGTGTTTGTCATGTGTCTCTACTAGTCCATCAGATGACATGTTTCTACATAAACAGAAGAGTCCAGGCCCCTGAAGCTGATTCACATTTGTACTGGTACTGAGTTACACAGATATTCTGTTTAGAGTTGAGATGGAACAGATAATAATCATCACAGAACATACATTAACTGATACATTGATTTATTTAGGATGGGCTAATGAATATTTTTAGCAATATATTTTGTCACATCCAATGTAGAGTGATTTATTAATTATTAATTCAGTCTCATGCTGAACAAATATGGTGAATTCATGTAAAGTGGGGTGTTTCACGTTGATTTCACTCAATTGATTTACACTTTCAGAGCATAACTATGGTCTTTAATTAAAGGAACAGTATTTATTTTTTAAAATGACAAAATATTTTTGACTGATGCAATATGAGTCAAGTCAAGTCAAGTCACCTTTATTTATATAGCGCTTTTAACAATACAGATTGTGTCAAAGCAACTGAACAGCATTAATTAGGAAAATAGTGTCAATAATGCAAAATGACAATAGTAAACACTCATTTTTCAGTTAAAGACAGTTCATCATTGAATTCAGTGATGTCAACATCCAGCTCAGTACAGTTTAAATAATATCTTATTTCTTCACATGCTGAAAAACATAGTAATAAACACACATCTGCTGATCGTGCTGATCGTCTGTGTTTAGAGACGCGAGCAGAAGAGGCTAGAAACCAAAAACTATAGTTTACTCAAGTGAAAACACAAGGGTCATTCCATGAAATCAATGCCTTTTCCATATGGAAAAAATCTTTTATTTTTTATTTATTTTTTATTATTTTAAATCAGTTTAATCTATATTTTTTAAATATCCATGAAATGAATACACCTTAAAATGACAATACATTGTATTGTGCCATCTCAATATTTTATGACAAATTTTCTAGGTATTTTTGTCAACACTGTTACCGACACAAGCTTTACTAGATACAATAGTTTAATTAGAACTCATATGCCACTGAATGATATAGGCATTAGCTCAATAATATAGCGAGGGTGACCTTTAAAATGTTTGAATTTTACACAGACAATCTTTATAAACAGGGTCAAACCTAATCAATGTCACCCATGTTACCCATATTTCAAAACCTGTTACTCTAAAAAGTAGCAGGTTGAAAGTAACAGGTTTGATGATTTTAAACAAATTTGCTAATCGCTAGCTAATAGTCAAGTTCACAAAAGCACATATTTTACACTTTGAAAGGATTTTACTTGTAGATATTGATTATATTAAATGTAAGAAATAATTGTTTAAATTAACTTTTTAAAAATGGTAACAGGATTGACACTGCATGATGGTCCGCCTCAGTCAAGCCTCATAAATCA